CCCCAAAACCCCAAAACCCCAAAACCCCAAAACCCCGAGTCTGTTCAATTGTATTGAGTTAGACTATTGTTAATAAACTACATTTACAAATATATCCTGAGTTAGAGATTAAAGCCGGCCCCTAGGCCTAGCTTGTTTGCTAACTCGGAATCACTTGAGGGAAGATCTGGGAAAGATGAATATCTTTCCTTAGATAGCATCTCTTGGCTCTTTTCTTCTCCAATCTTCATGTCTTCTTCAAGGTTGAAAGGAATACAGGATGGCTTCATCTCTTGAGAAGGAGGATCACTCACGAAGTCGAATTCGAGAAGAGACATGCTTATTGAGTTTCTACAGTTCATTTCTTCAAGGTTTACACCCAGTAAGGACTCTTCTGGAGGGGTCACCTGCTCAGGAGTTCTTGAGAAATTCTTGCTCAGATTTCCGAAAGGTTTTCTATTTTCTATCTCTTTGAGTAGAACAGGATGTTGAAAAGATGCCATCTGCTTTTTAGTAGGTCTAGAAAATAATCAGAATCGAAGCATTACCTTCCAATTAGGTCGGCTTGTGAGCCCAGAATGTTCTCTTTCTGGAGGTCCAGATTCTCTCTTCACTGGAGTCTCCTTGAACTGATGTCTGAAAAACTTCTTTGTCATAAAGAATTTTCCGAAAAGTCTAATTTTCTTTCTGTTTCGACTTTCGAATCTCTTATATTTTCAGTGTCTGCTGGGAATAAATTATGGGCGGCTTGGACATGTCCTATATTAATGTCAGATACTTCCCAGAATGGATAGAAATAAAGCCTTATGCAATTCTAGTGCCCTAAAAAACACCTATATGACTTTAGGTAGGGTAAGAGTTTCTAATCCAAAGCAAGGGTCTACTACTTATAAGCTAGGGATGGAAATGAATGATCTTTTTAATATTGACACTAAAGTTAACGAACTTGTAGCAAATATCCTCAGAATATCGATTCTTACCTATTTCGGAGTGCTTCTTCACTTTTACAGGTGTCACAAAATCTTCCTCTTTTGGCTCCCACAGATCAGGCGTTTGAACTTCAGTATCACGTTTCTTACTGTTGCTTATTTCTATGTTATCTTCTTCTCTCTTCTTATTCATCAGTTTACGAGTTCTCTTCTTCTGAGGGGACTTTGGTTCAGCAACTGACTTTACCTTGTGTACAGGTTGGTGATGGTTGTGTTCAAATAGCAACTTCTCTACTTCCTTATCTAAGTTCTTGCCAATGAGTTGAGCAATGGAGTCATCTTGGTCTGTAAAATCATGTTTAGAGTATCCTCCAAACTCATCCTTAGAAGGCTTATGAAAGCCCTCAAGGTCTCCAGCCTTGTTTTTGCGATCCCAGCCCCACTTATAAGCTTGCGAGATACTAAGGCCACTTTCTTTAGCTGCATTTTCGATAGTTCGTCTATCCCACTTAGGGTTTTTCTCAAAATGCTTCAGGAGAACATTGATTTGATCAGAATTCTTCCTTCTTCTCTTTCTTCCTGAGCTTGAGAAGGATTCTTCAGATTCCAAGTTCGATGTAACACTTGAGGCATCCTTAATTCCTGGTTTCTTTCTCTTCCTCAAATTCCTCTTGGTTTGGAACTTCATAGGTGGGACCTTGGCTTCTTGAATTCTGCTAAGTTTTCTTCTTTTTATTGGAGAAGGAGAGTTGCTGAATCCCTGAGAGTGTATCCTTAGCTTCTTAATCAACTTTGCCCATGCTTGGAGAGCTAAAGAAGTAAAATTAGACTAAATTCATTCAGAAAGATTGCCTCTGATAAGGTATAATGTTGAGACAGGGTTTCACTAATACTTGCCATCCATTTTTAATATTGCTACTAAATTTTATAAACCGCTAGTTAAACAAGTTTTTATAGCTCTCCTTTGGTTTCTCAGATCTTCTATAAGAGAAGTCCTGATGTATTTGGAACACATTTAGATTAAGAAGCCTAGCTAAAGCAAGTTTCGCTCTTGGTGATTATTTTACCGAAAAAGGCAGCGATTACTTCAAAATTTCGAATTCCCCTCTAATCCCTTTCGAAATCCCTTTGCCTTACAATCTTGGTAACTTCACGAATTCATGAACGCTCTTCAAGTCACAGCTGATCGCGGAATACGGAAAGGTCCATCTCACTTGGAATTGACAGCTAAAGATGCCATACAGGTTGTTGATATTAAAAATTTATTTACTTTCAGGTGGCTTCCAGCTATAAGGGGTTTTGGGGTTTTGGGGTTTTGGGGTTTTGGGG